CGCCAAAGGGTGTCGTTTCAATAATCAGTCTTATTTTTATTATCAGTTATTTAGAACAACAGTGTGTTACAATGCTTAGCTTCTTTAGCAAAAGGCTAAATTTGTCCAAAAAAAAAGGACTGAATCATCACGTCATCATCTCGTGCTGTTCTGACAAATTATTTGGTTTCCTTGAAGTTCTCTCAGTTGCTTCATGTCAAGGAAAAGTGTTGGTGATATTATTGCTTCATTTAATATTGTTGTATTACCTCCTATGGTGTACAGAGAAAAACCGATCAGGCCAGAAGTGATGCTGCTCTGGTAGGTTTATTGGTGCCACGGTTCCAGGCAGGTGGCAAAGCCTCCAGGCTCAACCCTGAACAAATGATCTGCGAGCTAATGCAGCTCTGGAGGGTGTAGCAACGGCAGGACCAGTCGGGACAGTCGCTCTAAATCGGGGCAAAGTAACCAGGATACGGAGGAGCGTGAGCTTTCCCTTCCTCTGCCTTTAAACAAATATTGACTAGAGATTCAAGCAGAGGCAAATAGGCTCTCAGGTAAAGAATGACATGCAGGACGGGCTTTGTCATGACGGCGCTCGTAGGCGATGATACATACGGGAGGCGTTTTGTAAAATAATGAAGAGTGATGGTGGTTTACTGCCGGGGATACAGAAACAATGTGAAGGTTTGCACAAAGGACCAGAAGTACAGAAAAAGCAGGACATTCAGTGTTTCCTCAGAGGAAACCAAATGCTGGAGAGGAGTCGCTCACATGACTTTTAATAGTATGTTTAGTTGTTGTTTCATTTCAACATGACTAATTGATCATTTTTAAGCCCTGATGATTGAGTTTAACTTTCATGTCACTCATGTGTGTGTGTTTCATGTAATGAAACATTTCAATGGCTTAAGTTTGAACCTTTGGAAGAAATGTGTTTGTCCATTTGAACGGATGAAGCAGACATTTAAACAACTGCACATGTGATGCTTTTGTGTTTCTGCACTTTTCTTTACCACTCAGAATGACCCTGCCTTGTTCCTACTACATGGTAAGAGTCAGACTTACATGCATTCAGGCTGTAGCTCTTGCTGGTACAGCAGAGCAGTGTGTCTGCGTTGGGATCATCACTCTGTTGTCAAACCAGGGAAACACTTGGATAAAGCACCAGTGGACGTTTGACTTACGTATTTGAATGGTAACAGTGCGACGGCTGAATGCTGCTAATAGCATCCAGATGACAGATGGCTCGCATCAGATGCCTGTTGTGTGTATGTGTGTGCTTAATGTTTAGCTAATGATTAACACAACCTCCCATTAAGCCTATCTCCCTGCTCTCTGCTGCTCGCCTGCGGCCTCGCTTCATGACGTAGGAGACGGCCAGTGATGAACAGGCCCCCAGTGGAAAATACACGCTGTCCTCATGAATGTGCCAACGGGGGGAAATGATTATCAAAGAGGCACTAAAACGGAGATACAGAGATCATCGTCCCCGCCGCTGTAAATGTCAGGCAGGGGTAATTCAAGCAGACACGCAAAGACAGGCACAGCCGCTGAGAGAAAATAAACAGAGAGTGACCATCGCTTGGAGTCTTTCCCAGTGTCAGTTACAGGTTTGGCCCTATTGGCACAGAGCTGTTGTCTCATTGGTTTGAACAAGGCGGGTGTGTCTGTTTGACGGCAGTTTGTATGAGGATGTGATGTGTGACTGGGATTCAAAGTCTTTTACTTCTTTTGTAAAAACAAGAATATAGGACACATGTTGTATTGGAGCAGCAAAGTATTATTTTCATTGCTGTCAGTCACTCAGACAGCTGCACCGACCTGCTGTAACCCCCTTTTCTTACTTTACTCAACACAGGCATCTAATCAATTAAAAAAAGATAAAACTCTGTAAATGTCTGACCCTCGGTACATGATTGTGACTCCAGTATTCAGGCAGAAAGTTGCTCTGAGGTTGCCATTGCTTTCTTCAGACCACTGCCTGCCTCCAGCTGTATGCAAATAAGTCAATGCACCTATTCAACACACCTGGTGCTTCAGTTGGCGAGCACTGGTATTATCAGCATGTCATCTCAGATGGAGAACTGGTTCATCCTCTGTGTATTTTCAGTTCTAAAGACTTTAAAGAAGCCTTTGACTAACCTGCAGCAGCACCTGGCCTTACTCATTTGGTGCTACTGATTAGAAGACATTGAATTAACAGCAGGATCTAGTGAGAACACATCCCCTCAGAAGACATCTGTCATTGTTTCTCAGTTAAGGCTCAGCAGCTGTTTAACGAAGGTGATCTTCTTCTTCTTCTTCCTCCTCAACTAAAGTCACACTTTTGTGTCTTTTTTCCAGTTGCCAACCCGTACCTGCGTAACGCGAGCCGAACGAACAAAACTTCATCTTCAGGTATTGTACGTGAGGCTCAACGTGAAGCAAATACGGACAAACCGGAGGAAAAAAAGCCACAGAACGGCATCAGAGTGCAGCGACGGTCCCGGCAGGTGCGATGAGCGGAAACAGCTGGATTCTCTGCTGTCGACCTTTGAGAGGGAAGGAAGAGTTTTGGAAAAGTTAGAACAGCAAGCAGAAGTGAGCTCTTGTAAGAAGGATGGAACTAAAAAACAGAAAGGAGTGAGACGCCTGACGGGCCTACCCCGGAGAAGACGCACAGCGATGAGAGCGTGCGCAACCCTGGTCCTCACCTTTTACGCGCACTGAATGTGTGCGTTTTGTGACAGGTACACACCTTTTATACCTCTAAATGCTCTCTCTCTCTCTCTCGCTCTCTCTCTCTCTCTCTCTGTCTCCCCCCTCTCTCTCTCTTTCTTTCTTTCTCCTCCCCTTGAAGTGAATCCTCTGGGCGCGCACAGACACCTGTCGCACGGTGCGTTGCTCTGATCCAATATTGACATAGAGGGGGAGGGGTGTGTGTGTGTGTGTGTGTGTGTGTGTGTGTGTGTGTGTGTGTGTGTGT